AGTTTGGAACTAAAATGGCACTTCTCCATACAGTGTCGTTTTATTTTGTTTATTCTTTAAATCTGTTAAACACGGATTAGTTACAAAATAACGAATCCTACCAAGCCACGTGTCGGGCTCTGGTTTAAAGGATTCAAACAACGGTTAGCACTCACTACAAGAAAAACTAGTTTTAGCGACAAATATTAGAGGCAATTATTTTATTAGCCTCTAAAGCTAAAATTTTGGTGACAAAATCATTACTTGCCTCTATATGTTATTTTATATGCCTCTGTTTCGTAATATTTTTCTTAATAATATATATAAAAAATGAAAATATTAGATTTAGAGGCTTTTATTCTATTTGCCACTAGATACTTAACTACGACGTCTGTCTTTTTATAGTCTAAGTACTAGAGGCACATAAGAGTGTCATATAAAATTCCTTATTTGGTTTTAGTGTTACCGTCAGATTAAACAGTCGCTAACATGTTAAATAACATTAAAAACAGCTTGTATAATTTTTTTAAACATTGGAGGCAAATTTGACTGTCATATATACATTACTGTTAGACGTGGTTGGATTTGGAAAGAACGTGAGTAGTAAAAAATAAATATAAAATATATCAATTATCATTAAACATATTTTTAGGGATCACAAAGGGAGGCGGGTTGATAAGAAAGAGATCAAATGGTATTGGAGCAACATTAGGGTTAGCGCTAAAGGAGCAAAAAGTTGCAGAAGCCGCCACTGTCACTATGAGATTATTCGATTATTGTTCCCGGCTTGCCGCATCATCGCGAGGTCTGTTCCTGCTATTTCAAGCGGTATGTTCTTCACAACTCTATTTTCTGTGGTTTTAATCGCCCGTTTAAGATATAAACTTGTGCTATATTTAGTTCACCTCAGGTCTCAGGATTATGATCTTTCATGCTTAATTAGATGGCATTCATGCGAGGATTTCTGTGTTTGGTTCATGATCAATTTTGATTTCTATGTTTTGCATGACGTTGGGTTACAATTGTTTCTCAGGGAAAGTTTGATTGGACATTTTCATACCTAATTGAATCTTCAATTTTTCAGATGATCATCAATTCGGCGGCTCAAAGGTCCTGTTATCCCTTCTTTAGTTATTTTTACTTTCCAGTTGGTTAAGTTTTACTAATGGTCTTTGTTATATTGGTTAACTTTCTTACTTCTTAGGATCCAGATTTATATGCTTTCAAAGGGATGCTGAGGATTATGCACAATGGCACTTCGACGTGTGTGCGAAAAGTGCTTGGATTGCAAGCCTGTTAAGTGTATGGAATTTTCAAATTTCAGCAGTCAAATCAAAATTTCAAGCCCCAGGCGCTTTTGATACATTACAAACTCATTGGTTGGAAATTGCGAAAGTGATATGGCTATTGTAGCAGTTCTGTCTCTCGCTCTCTCAAGAGAACAATTTCCATTTTCTATACAAGTAACTCAATTATATTAAATGTATTTTTTATGCACAAATGAAAAGGAAGCCTTTGTGTATATATGTCTCTCACGTATTATCTTCGATTCCTAATTATTAACATTTCTAAAATTTAATTGGTAGATTAAAATTTACTCATCCAACCGAAACTGGGATTCTATTGATGTTTCCGGAAATGCAGGTAATAATACTGGCCTTTTACTGTTAATTAAAACCTTAACTAACATATAGAGGCTAATATATGAAGTATTAGTGGCTAAAGATCTGCCTCAGAAATTATTATTGACGACTCCAATATCTGTTCTAAAAGATAGAATTAATGACACATAGTTTGCAGCATAATCGCATTATTGGAGGCAGATTAAGTAGCCTTCGGATGTATAAATAGCAGCACATAATATTTGTCGCCATCATCTGTCGCTATAAGGAATTAGCGGCAGCAGTATTGATGACACATAAATATGTGCCTCTATAAGGTTTTAGAGGCAATTAAGCACTATATAGAGGCAAATAATCAATGCCGCTAATACTCGTTTTTCTTGTAGTGACTATTTGTTATCCGTTGTAATCTCTTCCCCCCTTTTCATATAAATAGAAAATCTCAAAAGAGAGGACAATAGGTTTTCTACTGATCCTCCACCCCAATCCATTCGCCTCTTATCTTAGCATGGGTTTAGGTGAGTTCCATAATTTATGGAGATACGGAGGAGAAAGGGGCAGATATGGGTTAGTCGGAGTACAGGTGGAGGAAGGCAATTGGTCGGAGAAGGGCGGAGGAGAAAGGGAGTTGTTTGGTTGGAATTCTTCATCTCAAATTTAAAATGGGTAATTATGTAAATTACGTATTAAAATTAGGACGGTATTTAGTAATTTTAGGACGATATTTAGCAATATTCCAGGTAAAATTCCTCGTATCCAAAACCTGATAAAAATCAGGTTTCTATCATAAGTGTTGAACAAGACCACAACTAGTAGCATGTTGAGAAGAAAATGGACCTCTGAAATCCAGGAGATGAATACCAAAGAAAAAAATGGCATACTTGTTGGCGTGACTACAACACTATCTGTATAGGTGGCCATCGATTTATTGTCTTTCTATCTTACATATTGTATTTTATGTTCAAGAGCTAAGAACTAAGAGAAATAATGAGGGTTGTCAAATGAATCGAGGAGAACCGCTTCAGATTGAGATGTGAACCAATTTTTGAACTATAATAAAATGAAATAGGATATAGTATATATTCATAATTTAATCCATAATTTCAAGTAAAATTATTTATTAGCTCTCGAACACAAATAGGATTTCCAGAGCACAAATATGAATTTAACAATGAGAATACTGACCAATGACTAACACTACCATTAATCAACTGATTCAAACACATCATTATAACCATAATCAATCAATCAATCATACACCACAAGTTCATTATATAATATAGGATTGGATCAACAAATAAATCTACAATGGAGGACTCCTAATATTCAGAGACTCTATGTAGGAGCCCTGAAGAACTCTCGTCACACTCATTGCCCGGCCCGAATTAATCAAATTGCATGATGTGCAATCACGTGTTTCATGGTTGTGTAGTTTATGTTAGGAGGAGATCAAGGTTTTTTCAGAATAGTTAGGAGTAGTTGAACGCTCATATTATATTTAATTTGGATAATTTATATATAAAAATTCATTAGTTGTGAACTATAATTGAATCTATGCCATCGGTCTCCCGATTCTCCAATTCTCATCAGCTAGCTACCAATAGCATCAGTTCTGTACGCTACAATAATATATGTGCTTATTAAAAGCATTATGTGTGACTATAAACGAAAGCTATGCCATCGATCCCCCGATTCTCCAATTCTCATCACCTAGCTACCACCAATATCTAGCATAAGTTCTGTACGCTACAATAACATATGTGCCTATTAAAGGCAGTAGTTGTACCGACATAATTAAGTATTTGTGGCTCTTGTTTTTTTAATTGCCTCAGACTTCGTTAGTAACCTTTGATTCTAAACGTTGTATTTTGATGAGTATGTATGTATTGTGGAAAATACAAATTTATTTATTTATTTTAATCACATAATGCATGTAGAGAGAATGCATGATGTATTCATAATACATAAAAAATTATGTGTACTTAAATCTCACCTTTTTTTTGGTAAGATTTAGTATGCATAGTTCATTGTATGTATAATCCATACATTCTTCTTTGTTTTCCAAACAAAACATTTTTAAAAGCCACACATTCTGAGTACACACATAATTTTGATACACACATTTTTGTAATGCACCATTCCCGGAATCAAAGGTTCCAAAAGACCCCTTAGTAAGTAGACGAATCCGCATTACTTATTTTTTCCGTTGGTCTCAAAGTTTCGAACCCAGAGCTTCTTCTGTGATAGCTATCTGCATCGCGCTAACCAATGTAGTAAAAAACTTTAAAACTTAAAAGTTTACGATTTTGTACATTTAGGTCACCAAAATACTTCTACGTAGAATCATATTTTTCACTACAGCTGTAGTCAAAATCTACACTTCAATGGTTAAAAAATTATATTTTTTCACTTTTATACCACCAAACCGATCTACAAAGAATCGTGATTTTGAGAGAATTGGTGGTAACCTCCGATCACACCAACTGGGACATCATCTACTGAAATTCCTTCATGACGTTGCTACCAACATAAACGTTCTCATTCTACGTGGAATCATCCAAACCTAAACTAGATGATACCATCCAAATTCAATATGGTTACTATCCAAACTCTAAGCGGACTGCACCATCCAGTCATTTACCAATTTCTTCATTTTTCCGTAATTTCTTTTTATTTTGTTAAGTTGCATTATTTTTTAAGATGGTAAGGTTGTAATATCCAATTTTTTAGCATGTGCTAATGCTAGCTCTAGCTTATAGGAGCATTTTGTTTTGATAACATTTTAATTTTAGGGTTTAACCACAGTTAATGCGAATTTATAAAGACAGGGGCATATTTGTCATTGTTTAAAAATTAGGTAGTGCACACAAGTGTCATATTGTGCACTAAGTTTGCGTCTCATGCCTTATCTCAAGTATCATGAAGCATACTAGAAACACAACAATTTACGGTTACAGTAACGAGCATAAGCATCCTATCCACCCCATTTTTTCAAAAAGCTATCATTATTAAATTATAAATTTCAGTTTAACCGAATCAGTGAAAAATCGGCCACTCCAAGCATCCAGACAGTCCCGGCACACACTAATTTCCCGGTGGTTGCACCCTCTCGTTTTCATAATTATTTATTTATTAAGTCACAACACCATAGTTACCTTATAAATTTGACCATTCCGCAGACTCTCTTTCACGTAATATTTTTTTCACCATTTTTTTGTATGAAACAGTTAAATTATCGTAGTATTTTCTAGAAGGACAGAAACCGTCATATTTCAACTATCATATAAAAAAAAACATTATTTTACACTATAAATAAAGCTATCACGACTTCACAGTTGTAACACATCACACCAAAACCCCTTCTTTTCCCATCTATCTGTTAGAAGCTAGCTAGCTAGCATGGCGATGATGAAGCTTGCTGTGACCATAAAAGAGTCATCACTGGTGAAGCCGGCGGAGGCAACTTGGACCGGCCGGATGCCGCTGTCGGAGTTCGACATGACCGGAACCATAACCCACGTGGACCTCCTCTACTTCTACGACAATAAATCCTCCACCACCTGCTTCCCACAAAACGACGCCGCTTCGGATCTACTGAAAGACTCCCTGAGCCGAACGTTGGTGACGTTCTACCCGCTGGCTGGCCGGCTGCACCCCAAAGGCGGCGGCAGGCTGGAGCTGAACTGCAACGGCAGTGGGGCCCAGTTCATGGAGGCGGAAGCCGAAACGACGTCGCTGGATGAGCTGTCGTCGTGGTTCGTTGGTGCTGACGTGTCCGGTAATAAGCCTCGCCCCAGCGGTGCCGAATTCATGCCGCTGGTCCCGGCGGTGGACTACGGCAGTGTTCCGATCGGGGAGTGGCCGCTGCTGCTGGTCCAGCTCACCAGGTTCGGGTGCGGCGGGTTCTGCCTCGGCTTCAACATGTGTCACGCGGTGGCCGACGGCCTGGCAGCCATGCACTTCTTCCACGAGTGGGCCCGCGTGGCCCGCGGTGAAGGGGTTGGTGGGGTGGGGCCGGTTTTTGATCGGAGGGTTCTGAGAGGAGGGCAGCCGCCGCTTGCTAGGCAGCCTGCGTTTGATCCTGCCCAGTTCGATCACCCGCCGGTGCTGCTGCACGATAACGACAATGGTAGGCAAGGCATGCATGCGTAATGCGTATACGTACGTAGGAATAGAGTGCATAATGCATAGTCAAATTTAGGAAATATTTTAAAAGGACACGGGGGGGAATTAATATTTGGGAACTCGTTCAATTTAGGATATAAAGTACACAAGTCACATTTTTTGGTGTAAGATAGGATGCATAATTAAATATGTGCGCTTCATTGTAAGTGCAGCCAGTGATGGGATTTAAATTTTTTTTATTTTGATATTTTTAACTGATTTTTATTTTCTTTGTCTTATTTCGGATTTTGAATTTGTACAAATGGAACAAGTTCGTTGGGATCTACAAAATTATATTCATTTTCAATATATTTTGAGAAAGAAAAATTTCGTACCACCCATACCACTTATTACCACCTGGTACCACTCTGTACCACATTCGTTTTTTACTCAAATTTTGAAGAATTTTATATAGAAGGAAAAGGTTCGCCGTGATTTATTATTGGATCTAAAAAAATTAGGGGGGGATTCATGACCTAATATACCACCCTATATTATCCTGGAATCGGGTGGTAACTGGTGATGAAAATTGATAAATGAAAGTATTATATTTCTACTATATTGTATATAATCATTCTACACTATGTTATATTCATAATCACAATGGTGCACTTTCATACCATATGATGTAATCTTATGTACTATCATACATTATTACTATGGTATGGACTGGTAATAAATGTCTCAATATTTGTTTCAAAATATGTTAAGGTTGATGTTATTTTCAAGAGTATAATTAATCTGATTTATGTATGAAAAAAATAATTACGACTTAAAATGTAAAAGATGTAGTTTGGTTAAATTAATTGGAGTAAATTAGTTTCCTTCCATTAATGGTAAGTGTAGTATTATACATGATTAATAGGTGTGTTATGCATTGCATCCGTTCCACTTTTTGCTTATTTTTTTCCTTGCTTGTTTTAACAAAATACAAAGCACAAACATTCTGCTTATTTTTTTTTCCCTTGCTTTCTTATACCATTCCATTCCATTCCATGAGCATGTATATATATAGGTCAGACTTCTATAGTATACGATAGTCATGGATAAAATTCAATTTCTGATTTTTTTTTTATGAATAATTTCCGATTTTCTAAACCCCAATAAAAAATTAATTTAATACAAAATAAGAATCGATAATAACAATTTGTTGGAGTCGATCGATGTGGATCTAACTGTCATATATATTAAAATAGGCAAGGGGGCAAAGCAACAACTAAGAGTAATGGAAATAGGATATGATGCATGTGACAATTCAACATTGTATTTGACCCATGCGTTATTAATTTATCTGTACTCATTCTTCCTATCCATTTCTTGTTATTTATTTGGCAAATGAATTGATCCATGGATTGGTGGATTGGATTGGTGGATTCATGGATCAAATGGAATGGTGGATTCATGGATTGATGGATTGGATCAAGTGGACTGGTAGATTATCCATAAATCCAAATGACATCCTCAACCGAAGACCAGTATGTAAAATGTGAAAAGTTTAGGTACTAAAATGTCATAATAAAAATTTTAGGTACCAAAACGTAATTTTCCAATAATATTTTTCGTATAAAATTTAATTAAATTTTGAGTACCAAACTGTAAAATACAAAAAAAAATATAAGTGCCAAATCGTAATTTCTCATTTCGATCCATGAATCCACATCAAATGAATTGGATTTAAATAGATTAGATTAGGTGGAAATTTTTAATTGGTTGGTGAATTGGATTGAGAATTGCCACCTACCGTTGTGCCTGGTTAATTCATCAACATTGGTGGTTGAATCTTCTTATCATCACGTTTACTTGCTGTCCCGCTGCATCATTATTTGGTAGAAATTCCAATCGATGGAGTAATGCATCTGTCTCCCTTTGGTGGCGAGAATGAGATTTAAAATACCTGATACGTGGCAACTGAAATTGTCTCTGGAACAACACTACCCTACTAATAATATATCTTTATTCGTATTTTGCATGGCTTCATCGTTGCTCAGCTGCAGGAATCGGCAATGCAGCAACGAGATTGAAGCTGACGAAAACCCAAGTACATACCCTCAAGGAAATGGCCAACAAGGACCTGAGCTCAACCCTAACCACCCGTCCTTACACCACGTACGAAACCCTAACCGCCCACATCTGGCGCTGCGCTTGCAAAGCGAGGAAACTCGAACCCAACCAACTGACCGCGGTGGGCGTCTGCGTCGACGCGCGCAGGCGCGTGGACCCTCCTCTCCCCGACGGTTACTTCGGTGACGCCGTCATCGACGTGAAAGCCACGGGCCTTTCCGGCGACCTCGTGGCGAGGCCGTTAGGGTACGCGGCGGGGAGGGTGAGGGAAGCGACGGAGAAGGCGGACAGCGAGTTTCTGTGGTCGGCGATCGAGTACATGAAGAACCAGCCTGACCTGACCAAGTTTCAGGACTTCTTCGAGGAAGGTGGTGAGGAGGAGGAGGAGGAGCCATTTTTTGGGATCCCGAATCTGAACGTGACTAGCTGGCTGAGGCTGTCGATGTTGGGTTTGGATTTCGGGTTCGGGAAGGAGGTTCGGATGGATACCACGTTTGATTTCGACGGCGACACGACTTTGTCGGGAAGTCAGGATGGGGATGGGTCGGTTGTGATTTCGATTTGCTTGAGGTCGGATCACATTGACGGTTTCGAGCGCTGCTTTTATGATGATATTTTCATATGAGAGAATACATTCTGACTTTCTGACCGTTGCATTGATCATATACTTACAAATTGAAAGGGTTTAATAATAAAGGTTAACTAGTTTTGTGCCCGCCCGATGGGCGGAGAGTTCATTGTTTGTACTTTTCCTTCTATTATTTGTCATTTTTTCTAATGATATTAGATTTCTACTTTTTATATTTATTTATGATTGTACTCTAGGTTTTAATGATGATCAACAATAAAGTCAAACAACGTTGTAACTTCATCACTGCTTGGAAAATATTATTCATGACCATCAGATCTTTAATTGACCAACAATTGTCAACTTCATAAGTTGTACATGGTTTAATCTCGTGTACGCCACCTTACCGTACTCCTATAGAGTTGGTATTTAGACCATGAATTAACGGAGTTTGGCACATGATGTTATACCATATCTACACATAATATAATACACCGAAAGGAAAAACGGGAGCCCCATTTCAAATTTCCTACAACGAGAGTGAAAGTAGGAAGGACATTTTGGTCTTCACAATTACTTTTTTTTTATTCATTAAAAAGACAATTACTGGGATTCGAACCATGACCATTTTAAAGAAAAGCAAGGATCATAACCAATCACACTAAGTACTTTTGTTGTATCTTTTTAAATTAAAAACATGCAATAGCAGGGAGGAAAAAACTATTCCCCCATTCCAAATTCCTTGCTCCAGGAGCGTTTGTAGGAATGGTAGAATAGGGAGTGTCAATTTTTTTCTTTTTCCTCTGTGGAACGGGCCAACTTACCTCACATGCGGATTTAAATGGGTCCTCGAGTGTCAATTTTTCCTTTAAGCCCTTTTATTTCTCCGTGGTGATAAAGTATATATGAACAGGCAAAAATAATACTCCTTTTTATTGCTAAAAATAAAAAATTTAACAATAAACTAATGCATGGTATCTAATGGGCTAACCGCTAACCATAAAATAAAAGAGTTGAATGGGTCTGACTTACACGTGATTTGGCCATCAAGTAAAACAAATGAACATCATTGGTTTGTCATTGTAAAACAAGCTATTTTCTCTGGCATAATATATATCATGCTATTATTTTATATTTTAGTGGCTAAAATATAATATATTTTAAAGTTATTCAATGGTTCAACCTCGACCAACCTAATTAGTCCAATTTTTATCATTTCAAATATATATTATATAATTATTTGATATCATAATGATAAAATTATAGTGTATTTTATAGGGAATCGTTTGGTATTTGTAAGTAAAAAACTAAATAGAAAGATTTATTTGGTTATTTTAAACATTAAAACGATCCTAAACATTTTCAGTTCTTTTTGAATTTCTATGGTTTTATTTCCGAATAAATGATGTGCAAATGGCGAATTGCAGTCATATCTTTTCTTTCACTATTTTTTATTTTCAAATAGAAAGTTTAAAGGTAATGAATAATTAGAATTTGGTATGGGTCGGTCAAACAGGCTGAATTTCAAGTTTTGGCCCGTTTTGATCAAGTCTAATTTATAATCACATGGTTCCCTGATACCCGATAAAAATATCAATCCAAACCAGTTTGACAGGTGAGTCCGTGTTTACCACTATTTCCTAGGGATACAACAACGGCGGTTCCTATCTCAAATCGTGTTGTTCGTTCTTGATTTTCTTAGATTTTATCATGACCTGACAAAAACTGGAAAGCACAATGACGACAAGAAAAAAGTTTTATAAAGCAAATTAATCGGCCAACGGGCCGAGTAAAAGCTAGCAACGATTGTGAGATGCTCATTTCCTGAAAACCGACGGGATAGGCGATTTTTTATTCGATTTTCTGGAATTTGGTTTTTATAAAACTTACTCCACCTCATCATATTACCAGAAACAATATTGTTTCACAAGGTAACAGGTACTTGATTTTGGTTCATGAGGCCGATTTTTGATTCGTTGCATCATTCATGTCTCTTTCCTGCTAAAATTCACTATTTTTATCACGTGTTTCCCAAAAAAAAACTATACATCAATAATCTATACACCCCATTACATTATCAAATTTCATACTTCAACTTCCTCCGGCCGGGGCCACGCTAGTTCTCTAATAGGTGAAACACAGTCTTTAATTCTCTAATCCAAATCGTACGATTCATTTAATGAAAAATAGTAACCACTGATTCTTATTTGTCAAAATATATTAACATACAACTAATAGGTATGAATGAAGATGCATATTACACCTCGAGTGTATGCTAGCCTTTTCCACCATTATATCAATGTACAATCAAACTATTCTGCTATGCTTCTTACCTTCAACATTGTACGAATTATATTAAAGCAAATGTTAGTTATGGAGACACTTTGTCTTCACTTCACATTATCCTCCAATATTTAATATGTGACTAACTGTAACTGGAATTGTGTGATAATTTAATACAAACATAAATGTGCTCTCTTGTGCAGTCAGTATAGTAACTGAATTTAAAGGACATCGTCATGATATGATCCTGCGTTGGTTTTACAGGACACCGGTCCGGTACGTCCCACCCTAGTATACATGACATCGGTCAGGGTATGATCCGCAATGGATTTATAGGACACCCGTCTAGGTACGATCTGTGGTGGTATGCATGTCATCTACTATACTACCCGAGGAGTGTATGACTTGGCAAATTAAGATGTAAAATGCAATGAACCTAACCATGCAAGTGATTGAATCATTGTATAAATATTACTTATGATGTGGTTAAGTGATGAGTTTCTATGATGTGATATATGAAATGTGCATGTCGATGATGATGGTTTTCTATGGTGTTTTATACAATGATTTAAGATTGGATGATATGATGTTTTGCTATGTTGGGACAGGGGTTACATGGTAATGTCAGTATGATGTGATATTTGATGCATACATGTTTAAACAGTGAGTTATCAAGAGACTGGGTGATGGTACTTATGTTGTGATGTATGAATTCTTTGAGTTTGAGATGATGAATGTGATATGACATGTGGTGATGAATGGATGTTTATTTGACTGAATAAGATATATCATATCGGATGTATCTTGACAGTTAAGTTAAGCCAGTAAGGCCTGAGAAGTGGGTGACGGGAAACTGAATACTCCATGTTTTGCCATGGTCAATGAGAGGGACAATAAGTCATTTTGAACTATACTCTTAAAGGTAACGGAAAAGATATAAACCATTATCTTATGAGTAAGGTTATCATGCGAGTATAACTGGTTATTAAAAATACTAATAGTAATATATGTATTAGGGTGTCACATTAAGTAAGGATTAAAATAGTTATTTACATATCAACCATCATATATCCAATAGTTTAAGATTCGTTTACAAATTTTACTTGACTTAGGTGTTATTCATCTGAATATGACTCAAAGTTGCACATATATACTCATGTAGGAAAAAGAAAGGAACTTATGTCAAACAATAAAAAGAGAAAAGAAAGGAATTATAATTACATTAGGAAAAAGTAAAGACAATGTGTTTTATAATTGTGCATGAAAGAATATTTAATAACGTACGAAAAATGAAAAGAGAAAGAAGTTGGTAACATAAAAGAAAAGATAATGATATTTTAATATGCAAGAAATGCCAATTTCAATCCTAAAAATGACAAATGCATTATGTATATGTACATGACTTTTTTTATAACTTCTTTCACCAATTGGTCACAAACATATTTAAACCATATGACCATAATTCAGTTTTGAAAAATATACAAAAAACTTTGGTGACCATTGGTGTCTAGTGATATTCTTAAACACATGAAATTTTGTCTATATATCACTGTAGCATATGAATGAACTATGTTGATATATTTCAGATATGTATAGTAAGTATTTATAGTAGTATTTTCTAACAAATTGCAACATAACTACATTGGTTCACATATTTATAGTAGTTCGTACAAACAAAATGTTAAATTCTTCGTGTTCAAGAAGACGGAAGAAGATTATACTTTACTTTTTATATTTCAATTTTAAAAGAAAATCACATGTCAAATTATGTAAAAGATTACAAGTGTGTACCAACTAAATTTATGTTTTTCGGATTTTTTAATTATTTTTAAGAAATTATAAACAATTATAAAAAATATTATAAACTAAAAATAATTTATTTGTAGATGTTAATGATTTTATTATCAATGCTAAAAAATAGATTACACAATTGTAACCGTGATAGCTATTCTATTGGTTAAAAAATAGTTGGGATTAATTGCATGAAAGATATTTTATTCTATTGGTTAAAAAATTGAAATGATTGTAGTTTGAGCTTCTAGGTTGCATGATTAAATCATAGTCATGATGATTGATATACATGTTTTGTTGTGGTTAGTAGCATCAAATATACTTTATCCTGGTGGTTGAACATTTGAAATGATGATAGTTTGACCTCATAGGTCATAGGTTCAAATCTTGGTGATGATGACTGATATGCATGTTTATTTAGTTTTATTTTAATGTAACTAATAACTTAAAATGTTAAAATTGACAAAATGACATGGAAAATTGTGGAGCTTTCGTTGTCCTACGTGGCAAAAACTTGCTCCACAAGGAGACGAAGCGATCGGGAAGCGGGCTATTGAAATCGTGCGTTACCTGCCGAGGTGGTTGCGCATGAAATAGGGATCTTTGGCGAGATCGATGGTCTCGAGGGCGAGGCGCCGGAGACGCTCCCGGCGGTCGATGGCCTCGTTCTGGGAGGAGGCGGCGCCTCCACTGCCGGGCTTGGAACCCCATTCTCTGTCCATGGTTCGAGGTTTAAGAATTTTTGGCAGTTGTTGTGGGACGGTTGTGGACGGAGATCCGAAGATCTGGAGATGCCCGAGTCGGCCGAGGCGTAGACGACGGCGGTCCTGGGAGGACGGATTTGGCCAACGACAGTTGCGGGTACGGGGAGCCACCGAGCAGAGCAGGGAACGAGGAAGCCAAATCGATATCGTCGATAAAAGGAGGGAGAACGAGAGGCCACTGTGCGAGTCTGTTGATCTGCGCGTGAAGTTTGCAAGCGG